TTTTGAAGAAGTAATTAGTAACTATAATTAATTACTTTTTCAAAGTAACTTGCCCAACACTGGTAATGTGTAGGCTCTCTCTTCCTCTCTCTCTCCCACACACACACACACACACACACACACACACACACACACACACACACACAACTTGCTTTTTATATCTGAGTGAGGACATCCAGTTGACATGATGCTTTGCCTAGCTGCTTACCCTAACCATCAACATGAACCCTTAGTCTAAACTAATTATAACCTGACACTAAACCCAGATTTTGAGCCTCAGAGATGCCTCCAAACTTGTGGGGCCTGGAAGGAACTGTTGGTCCCCACAAGTATAAGTAACAGTCGGATCTTTGGTTTGATGTATAAGTGTGCACACATACACACACAAATATATATTCGCAATGAAACTCAGCTGTGGGTCTTTCTTGTAATATTTTGCCTGTTAAGACCCTGTGTTTTACAGTGTTGACTGAAATGTGTGTCATCTCATCATTTAACAGATAAATGTCCACAAGCACCAGTCGATTTACATTTCCAATCAAAATCCACAGCTAACGCAGAGAGTTGAATACACAAAGGTGACATGTACATTTCTGTTTGTTTCAGTTTTTTTTATAGTACCAAATATAACTTTTATAGTACCAATTAAAAACATCAGTAAGGGCAATATTATGGATATAATTCCAATAGGTTTTTCCCTTTTCACTATTCCCTATTTGAATGAGTCTGTGAGCTACTTAGATCAACTGGATCTTTTTGGAAAGACACGTCTTCTCAAATCGTGTGGTAAGAATCTAAAGTAAATGACATTTACCTCATTTGTATGGTTAACCCTGTAGGAACTGAGTCAATAACAGCTTCCAGCACAAAACTCTGGCAAATCAAATGTGAAAAACTAACCGCTGAAAGGGGTGCAGCCAAAAAGTATCCTTACCTCATTTGAATTGATGTAAAGACACAAATCACATTAAGAAATAATCTAAAACAAATAAAGGAAGCAAAACTCATGTAAATGACTATATACTACAGAAAGCAGAAAGTGGGTGAGAAGACATTCAAAATATTCACCAATCAACCACAACATTAAAACTACATGTATTGGGGATGCCATGAACTCAGGCACACCCCACAGTTGAACCCAACTAGGACGCTGGCAGATCAGCTGATCTCAGTGCCAGCCCTCTCTGGTTGCTCAGCTGACACAGTGTAGGTCCAACCCAGCTTCTCTTATTGTGCTGTATCTGACTAATGATATATCATATCTGTTGCTGTTTATGACTTCTCTGCTCTTTTCTTTACTGGGGTAGTGCATAAGGAAGGATGCAGCAGAGATGCACAGGGAGGGAGAGTTTTGCTTGGCAGCTTATCCAGCTTAACCTGGCCATGCTTCCCCCACGGGGTGTCTGTAGCCATTGTGTGTTATATTAGCTGGGTAAGGTTAGTTTTGTCAAGAGAAATGAATTTGTTTACTTATTCATTTTTGAATAAATGGATGGTGAACTTTAATTTACCTTTCACCAATTATGCTGTTGTGGCTGATCGATTACAATAAAAGAACTAACATAATAATTAATAGTGTTCAATAAACACATATTTTTTTAAATCACATAATTGGGACACATTCCCAAAATTTTCTGTTCACTCTACATATTATTTCTTGTCAATTTCCCATTTCACAAAGTTTTGTAAGACTCGAACGTCCTACAGTCTACAGCCAAACCATGCAGCTGTAGCCCAGCATGCAGTTGTGTACACAGGAGAAAAGACGGAATAAAGTGAGGGGGACATTTATACACTTACCAAGCACATGCTTACTGTAATAATAAATACAGAGAGGTGCATATTCTGAGCCAACTTAGATGACAGTTGCTGCTTTATATTCTCTTGTGTGATCATAACGCCAGTAACATTGGAAAACACGTTTATTAACGGTAAAACTGTTGGGTCCTGGAACAAGGTGCAAGAAGGCTGGTGTGTCTCCCAAAAGTTTTACAGTTAACACAAACTTCCCTTTCTCTTTTTACTTCACCGGGCTCCAAATAGCAACCATGAGGACAATCAACCAGATCAAACTGGTGAACCTTCAAAGAGCACTGGCCAACTTCAGTCTTTGAAAGAATCTGTTTAGACAAATACACACTACATTTACATGTAAAGACACTGATGTGTATTTAGATAGAAATGTGTTAGTAGTCTCTTTAAACATTTCCCATGACTATTTCATGTTGGCTTGAAATAAAATATCTCCCTCTGCTGGTACTACAGCTTACTGCAACCTAAGCATGCGTGTCCTTTTCATGCATACGAGAGGCTGACGACCGCATGGTGCACCAGCATGTCTAATACACGCTTTGCCGTGATATCGGGTTGGAACACAAATTTAATATATCATGACCAATCTTTCTTTAAATTTGAGCTACTGTCAGTTTATGTCATGCAAAAATAGAAGAATTTAAGTAATACATTACAAGGATTTGAAAACGATATGTCTGTGATCCCACTGTGTGTATTATTGTGTTAAGTAGTCCTAAATTATCTCAATTACCTGCTGCATAAGTATCATATGTCGCTTGTATCTCAGACATTATTACTTACTTACTTTTGTGTTTACATTACAGCTACTAAATCAGGTAGAGCTGCACAGCATTGTTAAAGATAAGCTTCCTTTAAAACACAAGTCGAAAAAATCAGTTTTTAAGACATTCATCGAGTAGAGCACTAAGGAGAAGAGACCAAAGGACTGCAGCCTGCACTGGGTCCACATCAGGCTTTCACAGTACAGAACTGTATTTTATTTTAATTTTCAAGTGTTCAGTTATAAAAGATTATTTTACGAAAGAAATCCACAAATTAACAAATTATTCTGTATCATAAATGTGATTTCAGGATTTGTAACAATCCAAAAAGTTCTAAAACTGTTTGATAGTTCACCAAGTTCAATAACAACACTGGAGGCTAACTTCAAGCCAGCTGCACAAGTCACCATCAAGGTCGTATTTTGGAGATGCTCTGTCCCCACAGCTGTTCGGCATAGGCCTGAACCCCCGAAGTGAGATAATTTAGAAGAGTGGCTACGGATACCGACTACGGAATGGAACAATCTGAATATCATTTGGAGAAATGTCGTCGGATGGTAACTAAGAGAAGGAAAGTAGTCAGAACCGAGGGAACTGCACTACCAGAAGGTAACATTGCAGATATCAAGGACAGCTTCAAGTAACTAGGAATCCAACAGGCAAATGAGTTCCATGAAGAGGCTGCTAGGAAAGCCTGAGGAATCAGCTTAATGGGAAGAACAACATCTGGGCTATCAACCCCATACAGGCTGCCAGCTATCTGATATTCTCCTGGGATAATAAGATGGACAAAAGAGGAGATAGAAGCCACTGACACTAAGACAAGGAAGCTCCTTACCATGCACAGAGGGTTTCACCCCAAATTCAGTACCTCGGCACTGTACCCTAAGTGGAAAGAAGAAGGCCGAAACAAAGATCATCCATGAGCACAGAACAAGCACAAGATCAAGAAAGGCTTGGGTCTACCAAGTGTTGCACCAGGCAAGAGGCTGTGCAGAGATGCCCCTGATACAATCCAGCACATCTGTGGTGATACATGCAGCTGCACCGAGTGAGAGCACCATCAGGAAAAAGGAGTACAAGAAACTCCAGAAGTACCGAGGTCTGAGAAAAGAGCATCAGCAGATGTGGAGGGTGAAGGCAAAAGTGATTGGAGCAGTTGGTTCATTGACCCCCAAGCTGAGTGAGTGGCTCCAGCAGCTCCTCTGGATCTCAGGAACAACACCTAGGATCTCTGTCTGGTTAGAAAAGATTAAACTAGTTCTTGCTTTTTACATATTCAGCGATGGAGCAGAGGCAGCAGAGAAACTACAGATGAGCTTGTCATCAGATTCGACTGAAACTGTTATGGGTTGTAACTGGAAAATATGAGACAAAACTAGCTAAGAAATTGTCACATTTGAAGCAAGGTGAAGGAATTAAGAGAAAAGCAAATACTACATGATCTGCGAGACACTGGGGAGAGTGAGGGAAAGGTGGGAGAGGGCAGCAGCCTTCACATCTAGCTCGACACATCACACATATGCACATATATGAATGCACAATCTCTTTGCCACCCTCTCAGACACATGCACACAGGCTGATCAACGTACAGCTTTCCTTTCTGAAGTGGTTCTGTGTGTGTTTGAAACTTATGTACTAGCATCAGTGTGAGCAGATCCAGGCCACTTATAGACTAGCAGCCACATTAAATGACAGTGTGAGGGGAAACACAGTGGTACCCGTGTACCAGCATCGATATGATCCTTGCTGGTTAAACTGTATTAAACACGTTACACAGCAATGATGTCAAGTCCAAACTTTGACCACTGATTAGTGTGAGCACTCCTTCTAAGTGACTGCATGCTCTCCATTCTGTAATTACAGACATGATCTCGTTAGTGGGACAAGACTGAGCAGTTGTAGCTAACTGTGTGTGTGACTGTGTGTGAAGCTACAATCATTTGAATCACTTTAGTAACATGTTACCTGGCTATGACAAACAGCACACAACTGACACCCAAGTAAGCCAGCAGAATATACATCCAGATATCAGGCGAGAGGGGGTTGAGGAAGGAGAAGACCCCAGGGTTGGTCCCGTTGGGCTTGCGGTACAGTATACTTATACCCAGCGTCATGAAGGGCTTGGAGAAGTCGATAACCTTCTCACGCACATATGTGATGGTGAGCGGAGCCACTGCAAGATCAGCTTTCTGTCAATAGGAAACATAAAAGGAAAGAGGAATAGGCTATAAGTTATGGGTACGGGAGGAACGTAGAGGCAATCAAATTAAGCAAACAGGGTCTTTACACACTACAGAGTCTGTCTTGAGGCACTTAGCTAGAAATTTAAAACCCTCTTTATCTTTCCACCCATCAAGAACACCTCCATAATTAAATTCACTTTTTGCTTTCTGGAAACTAAATCAAAACATTCAGTTATTTCCTCTGTCTGCTTCCTCCTGTGTCAGTGTAGACAAAATAAAGACGCTGCGGATGTGAGGACACTTGGTTAAGATGCTGCAACATGTTAGCTTATAAAAATATCATTATTGATTTATTTTTTAAATCAAAATATTAATGCTTGTTTCCAAAGTTTACATATATTACATTGTTTGGAAACCATTCTTAGACAGCAAATGTGCTACAGAAATAGGAAAATCACACCACTACATCTTAGGTGAAAGCTATGTTGGTGTTGACAGTTCATAAATCTCAGGCTGCATTGTGACTCTAAATTCTAAACATCCACAGCAAGGTCAAGTAGCTCATTCCTCAAAGATATATCCTTTTTGTATTATGAAGGTTGCCACTTAAGGATAAATAGACTGAGCTCACTGCTGATAGATGGAAGTCTATGATAACATGCATCTGTGAATCCAATCACACTATTAAAAAACAACAACAAACAAAATCAAACAAAACAGCAAAACCGGAGGCTCTGTTATGTTCTAGAGAATATTTTGGTCCCATGGTTTCTGTGTACCTGAAGTTTCACTGCAAATCAATGAAAAACTGCTCACTATTAAACATTAGTGAGATATCAGTAAATACTGAAATAATCACGTATTAAGTGAAAAATGAACAAAAGATCCTCTCGAGGGGCAACTTTAAGACGACAAGGAATGGTTTTACAATTGGAGGATGCTGATATTGTTTCCCTCGTCGTCTTTTCTGTGCTTTTGACTCGGCTGGCTGACTCAAATGAGGTAACCTCCACTTTCTGTGCATTTTGGTGGGTTCTTTCACATTTTGAGGGAAGCCAACTGAGTTTAATAATAGATGAAGTGACATGTTGATGCTCTCATTTTCAGCATCTACATGGATGTTAAAATGACACAATAATTATTTTGTAATAATTATTCAGCCAAGCACTACATCAGATAAATTCTGAAAAATCTGAATCTCTTAGTAAGGGCCAGGTAACAACAAATAAAAACACACTGAGGTTAATTATGGAGTTCCACAGGGTTCAGTGCTAGGACCAATTCTGTTTACATTATACATGCTTCCCTTACGCAGCATCATTAGAAGACATAGCATACATTTACACTGCTATGCAGATGACACCCAGCTCTATCTGTCCATGAAGCCAGAT